AAAAAAAAAAAGATATTTAGGTTGTGATGTGTTGCATTTCATGAAAGACGTGCAAATTTGAATGGGTTTGTTATTTCACTTATGTGTTAGGAAATCTTGAACGAGGTGACGGACATTGATCTGGTGGTAAACCTCAAGCTCCCAGAAAATGTACTGCTAGAAAAATGCCTCGGGAGGAGGATTTGCAGCCAATGTGGGAAGAACTTCAATGTGGCATCCATCAATGTCAAGGGCGAAAACGGGAACCCTGACATTGTTATGGCTCCACTTCCTCCTCCTTCACAGTGTGTCTCGAAGCTCATCACTCGATCTGATGATACAGAGGCTATTGTTAAAGAAAGACTTCGCATATATACCGAAAAGGTAGGTACTGCTTTCATACGTATTACAATTGTGCTTCGACTCCGTGAAGTTCACTTTTCTGTAGTTGAGAGTACAACTATGTCTATGTTTGGTAAAACTAGGTGATGAGCTAGTTGATAGCTAATAAGTGATTTTCGAGCTTATAGCTGAAAAGATGGCTTATATGATAAAGTGTTTGGTAAAATTAACTGATGAGCTAGCTAGCTGAAGTAAAACGAGCTTATTTGAAAAGCTACTAAAGAAGCTTATGAGATAAGCTCGAACTTTTAAAAAAGTTCTTCCTACCAAACAAATCTTATTTGAATACAAGAAACTTATAAGATGAAAATCTAGCTTATATGATAAAAGTGTTTGGTAAAATTAGGTGATAAACTAGTTGTAATAAAAAATTTCAACGACCTTATTTGAAAAGTTAAAAGCTTATGAGATAAGCTAAGCTTAGGAGATAAGCTATAAGCTTTTGAGATAAGCTCGAATTTTAAAAGTTTGTTGTACAATTTAAATACATAAAGTCATAAGCTAACAAAATAAACTATAAGCTATAGTTTATTTGGTTATCAATCGTAGTCTACATTATTTTATTCAGAGATGATCTAAATTTGTGGTCTCCAAATTTTGTCAACATCAGTCGAGTAAATGTAAACGATATTTTTTGGATTATGCAGAGTCAACCCGTTGAGGATTTTTATCGTGGCTTAGGGAAATTGTTGGAATTTGATTTGCCTGGTGGTATACCAGAATCTTGGCCAAAACTGCTTGAAGCATTGAATCTGGACGAAAATGAGGAGAAACAGTCGGCTACAGCATGAGTTTTGAATCTTTTGATGGTTGCTTAGCATGATTTCACTGACATGCTTAAAATTTTTGCAGAAAACAAAATGTTTTGCATTTTTATTTATTTATATTTTTTTTCATCTCAATATTGAAGAAATAAAAAAAACATTGGAGTTCACTTGGTCAATGACCCTCGTGGGATACTGGGATGCCTTCTACAGGCACTCTTATAGTTCTACATTTTGAGTTGCAAGTTTTGCGAAACATTTTATGAGTAATTGTTGGAGCAAAGCGACTCATTTTTTGCTTTATTGTGGCAAATGGAATAATGATTCAGAGAGCAATGTGGTAAATTTGATGATTCCTAGTAAATCTTTTGTAGCATTTTTCATAAGAATGAAGGTGAAGTGAAGGTGAAATCAATTTACATGTATTATGAACACAATCTAATTTTTCTGAGATTTCTGAAGAAGCTCATGTCTAATACCATCTATAAAAGTAGCTGCAGGCTGCTGATTTTCTTTGCAAGAATCTGACCACGTAAATACTATTCTTCAAATCATCTTTCTTTTCCTTCTCGTTTATCACCCAAACCCGAATTCTCTATTGTTGATGGCCATCTGTGTCACCATTTGTATTGCTCGTATTTGATCCTTCATTTTTGAGTCTGCTATCAACGGTGGCTGCCACGTCGTTACTTGATTTTCCCTGCCATAATGCATTTTCGTAAGCTCTCTAACCATGACCGAACCTAGAAAAAGTAAAATCTATAAAAGTAAAGATGTACTTGAGATGAAAAAAGGCAATCACATATTTAAGTGGGTTTTGAAATTTAAATAAACTGCCTTGTGTTGGTTTGATGAAAGAAGAGGCCTGTAAACGAGATGAGTCGAGCCGAGCTCGAGCTCGGCTCGTTTATCACTATTAATGAGTCGATCTCGAGTTTTAACGAGGCGAACAATAAAAAATTATAAAAAAAAAGTTGTCTTATCGAGCTTCAGCTCGTTAACCAAACGAGCTTTAAATAAGCTTGAGCTCGACTTGTTAAGGCCTCGAGCTTGAGCCGAACTCAAGCCTTAATGAGCCGAGCGGAGCCGAGCCAAGCTCGTTTAATTTAATAGCACTATTAGAACCAAAAAAAAAAAAGCAAAAGAAAAAAAAAAGGAAACTTGCCTTGTTCCGATCTCGCCAGCCCAGGCCAAACGAGAGTAGACCTGTCCTCTTTGTTGTATCCTTTGGGGAATCTACACGTCCAACCCTAAAAAAAAAATACATGTTTTGGGTCAATGTAACAAACTTCTTGCAAAAACAAAAAAAAAAGAAATATATGTTTCGCAGTTCATGTCAAAACAATGGATCGAACACAAATTCAAAACAAGGGGAATGAGTTTCTTAAGGGGAAATGAGTTTCTTAGTTATGGTGATGTAATGATGGCTTAGGTTGTAAGAGATGGCTTGCCCATTACCTTGGGGAAGATAAGGCTTTACTCTGACCGGATTCATACTGTAGTGTTGCTTCCAACATTGATTCGGCCATAACAGCCCGTTTTTCCATCTGAGCAAGATCTGCCATGGCTTTGTCATACTTTTCCTGCACAGACAAGAATTCACATCACATGCAATTTTCTAATCAAGAAGGTGAGAGGGGGGAAAAGAAACAAAAAAGAAAAAAAAAATAAATAAATAAAAATTAGTCTACAATCACTCCATGGTGCTGGTGGATTAAGGTTGTCTTTTCAGGCCTTTGTTTTTATTCTTATTCTTGTGTGGATTGTACGAGGTAAATTCCACTTCCAGGGTTCAGGTGTAAAGTTCAAAGTTCATCAGAAATCGTCATATTAGATTCAGTACTAGAAAATATATGTATTGAAGAATACAAGTACACAAAAATGTTATAGAACCTGAAGAACATGCACTGCATGTCTCTGAGCAGCAGCCTCTTGCTCTGCAAAACGCCGAGCATCTTCAATTATCCTCTGTTCTTGCTCAACTTTCATCAAAACCTAAACATAAAGTCCTCATAACCATAAATAAGTTCTTCAAAAAGGTCAACATCCCTTTTTCTCAACTTATGTGTTATGATATGAAGTAGGGAAAAAAGAAACCTGAACAAGGGCTTTCTCCTCTTCTTTCTTATCAGCCAGAGCCTGCCGTAGTTCAGCAACTTCTTGCTCCAACTGTTCAACCTGCAGAAAAAAATTCAGAGTCAGATTTAGCACATGAGAGTTTGAGAGAGAGTTGGTTAAAATGCAGGCTTCCTCATAAACAAATTGTAAGTTATTGCAGCTTAGTAGATGGATCTCGAGAAACCGAGAAGGATGATTAGAACAAGAGTAAAAGGTACTCCATGAGTGGATTATGACTAGAAAACCAGTAAATTATGGTCTCCCTCATACTTTTGACTAGTGTTATAGTCAATCATGGAGAATAGTTTCAGTTAATTCACTGTGTTGTAACAAGACACCGAGAGCTCTAACATACCATTGCACTCAGTTCCCTTCGGTTATCCTTTTCAACCATTTCCATCAGCGCAGCTTCTAATTCTTCAGCCCTACAAAAGCAAAACCACCATTTTTATACTGCAAAAGATTTCCTAAACAGATATACACACACACAGACGGGCATATATACTCGGAAGTTCCCACATTTTAGACAGATTATCATGACATTTTGATTCTCGTTAAAAAAGTTCCGACACTCCTTTGGAAGAGTACTAAAATCTTATGCAAAGTTAACCAAAATATGATATGACGCACAGGACAATAAGCCTTAATCCCACTATATGGAGTTGCTATAATCACATCCCTCCCATCATTTTTTATTAAATGCCTCTATATTTAAATTCTTAAAATAAAACAATAATAATAATAATCCAGTCCAATATTAGTTGTCTACCATTTATAATTGACTAACCTGAGCATAGCAGATCTCTTCTCCTCCAGCAACCTACACAGCTCAACCTTCAACCAAACTACCTGAAGAAAACTAACACATACTATTATCCTTCCGTAATTCAAGAAATCTATAGAACATTCTATCCAAACATAAAACTTGAATTGAGTTATGGAACACAGATTTTACAAGGTATTGTAAACCATGTTTCATACTCAAATGGAAAGCAACCTACTTGTTCCTGAAGATCTGGAAGAGAATCTACTTCAGAATCGATGGTCATGCCTTTTAGAAATTCTTCTACGTCGGCAGCATGATAATCTGCGTCAAATCTTTCTCTGGGATCTTTCTTATCACCTAATTCTGCTTCAGTATTTTTTTCTATTACCATTGATCGATTGTGCTTGAAACTGTATAGCTTAGTTGCAAGACCCTTTGGATCTTTGGAAGCTCGACCGCCTTTATCTCTTTCCTCAGCTGCTGTGAGTACAGCCGGTCTATGCTTCTCTCTAAGTTCTTGCAGGCGATCTTCATTTATGGTCAAGAAACCAATGCAGGCAGTCAAGACAAGTTGGCTGCTGTCAAATGTGGAGCCGGTGAGTGTTTGAAATAAGGTTATAGCATCTCCAGCATCCTTAGTTGTAACTACAGCAGGTCCTGCATATGATAAGGCATGAATATGATAGTCCAATCTGTTCTGAACGAAATTAAGTTCGAAAAGAAAAAAGAAATGTAAGCATTACCATATAAATCCATCAAAGCAAGTGCACTTCGGAAGAGCATGACACGGTTTCCTTCAAATAAGAGCACATCCCATAATCGAAGAACTGAAGAAATAATAATAATTCAAAAATTATAAAAATGTAACTGGAGAGATGGACTGAAAAATAATCGAAATTCAAAGATATATTGACAATAGCAGAAGTCCACACCGCTTTCCCATGGAAGTATATTTACAAATATCGAAAGGAACCAAGGACCAGAAATCCATGCCACCTCCACTCCCAAGTAATCAAGATGATTCACTGCATAGATATTGCAATAATGAGAAACTCAATATTCTGTATAAGAAAAATGGAAGAGCACACTTTTATATAGAGGCCAAACCAAGTTTTGGAAACCTTTCACGCATCAAGTCCTCAAAAACAAGCTGATCAACCTACAAAGAAAGAAAGACCTGAGGTTTCTGTTTGGTTAAGAGGAGCATAGATGAAGTTTAAAAGGAGGTAAAAAAAAAAAGAAAAAGAAAAGAAAATGAAAAATTAATGTGTATCAAACCTGGGATTCTGTCATTTCTTGTGAGAAATAGCCTTCAAAATAGTCATCCATAATGCCCACCAATGTCCTGAAATTTTTTGTAACAAACTAGTTGATAAAATCTGAGCTCATTTTATACTACTTACAACATACCCTAATGTTACATTAAGATGCATTTGGAATATATAGTGTGCGAATTGGTTTTAAATGGCTAATGTGATTGAATGATTTCTCTCTATCCTTTATAAATCAGGTTATTCAACATTTTGCTTATCCTTTCACTCTCTCCTCAACAAACTCATGAATACTTTCAACAAATAACAAAAGGTTAATTTGATTTGGGACCAACAAGTTAACAATAAATAGAATTCCTGTCACCAGAATTTTATGAAATTATAATCTTTTCCCTCCCTAACTTATCAAAAATATCAATGCCCAAACAGGAGGACAGAGGTAAAGCTTTGAAACTTACCAAAATGCATTTTCCTCAGGCATCATCAACAGTAGCAAGCCAGCAAAGAAATTCATTGCCTGCACATACGGTGAAAAAGTAAGAAACCTAAAGAAAGATTTACAATGCAAGTTTATCACTTTTTCTTTTCTCCTGTGGTCAAAAGACCAATGAAAGGAATGAGAAATAAAAGAAACCGAGAAAAGGCCTTCGTCCGACAGTCACCTGGCAATACCCAACGGAGGGGTTATGCCGCGCATATGCCAAAAGTACACGCCTTAGTGAATTTCTGCCATTGTCGTTTAATGCTGGATGCCCTGGAAATGTTCGTGGCAAGTCCTGAAGCAACCAACAAGAAGTTAGTTTTTTTGGAATTTTGAACCAACATGTAAAACAAAATGAGAAGAGAAACAACAAACCTTATGAAAACATATAGAGATGTTAGGAGGGAAGAAAATTCATTAGTGAAACCACGTGAAAGTTCAAGGTAAGAACTAAACCAAACAAAACACATCGCCACTAAAGATTAAAGAGCAAGAGAATCCATGAGGTAGGGCTAAGGCTTATGAGATTTCATCAACATTAAAGCAACACAAGGAACATCATATCTGGTCCATAAGAAACCTAATTTCATTCATATTTTATGTACTAAATCACACAGGATTAAAAGAGAACAGGACAACAATTAGTAATAACACATTCTTGAAGATCATCTCACGTGAACCTCAAAAAGAAGCAGCACCTACGAATTAAAAAGATTGAACGATAAAGGCCAGGACCCATGCATCTAATGACCTTCTCAATCTGCTTTTTCCACTTTTCTGGAACATCATATTTCTTCCAGCTGGGTTGCGTCCTATTATCTCCCGATGACATTTTATCATGCTCTTTTCCATCACTAGAGCCACTATCTGTATCCAGCAAATCCTGGTAATAGCTTTCCACCCAACGAGTTCTAACACCAACAAAGGCTTGCCACACCTGTCCCATCCAGGAAAGAAAAAAAAAATAAATAAATAAAAGCTTTATGCTACGTATGGCATATTTAATGACCCTTACACTTGAAGATGTAGTTTACCTCTCCTCTAAGATCCTTTGGCACTCCTCCTCGAACAAGAAACTCCAGTTCTTCCTTCCAAGGTAAAAATTTTTCTGGAGACATTCCATCAGCATCACTACTTTCCATTGCAGGAATACCTGCATTATCAGCCATCTCATTGTCATTGGATACATCCTTCTCATTATCTTCGGATTCTTCTCCCGATGGCCCCTCATCAATCGATGGAAGATGATTTCGAGTAGATTTTGTCTCCGCAGCCACATTATTTCTCTTCTTTATACACAAACTCATCATATGCTCAATGGCATTCAAAGATGGACTAATTTTAGCCCATGTCTGCACCTCACGGAATTTTCCATGCTTGATTGTTCCCGCTTCCTTGGCCTCCTGGGTATCGGGAACTGACCTCTTTTCACCTGTATCATCATTCACCTTTTTAACTGGCTCGGTTTTAGTAGCTGCCCCTTCAGGGTCATCATTCACTTTTTCAACTGGCTTGGTAATCGTAGCTGCCACTTCAGGATCCTCCGTTTTTTCATGAGTTGAATCATCCTTCTTTTCTCCATTTACTGTTTGAGAATAACCAGTTGGCTGCTCGGTAAGCTCGGAAACCACAGGTCTAACATTTTCCCCTTCAGTAGAAAGACATTCATTAGTAAATTTCGCGTGCTGCTCAAGAAAACTCGTCCACTTTTGCAGTCTCTCTTCTTCTTCCTCCTGGAACATATATATTTAGCGAACCTCTCATGATTACAAATGAATTCTACAAATATCCCAAAACGTAAAAATGTTCCTTCAATTTTTGAATATATGGAACAGATAAAAAAGACAAAAGATGAAAAAGAAAAACAGGAGATACGGCCGCTTTAACCAAGCGTGAAAAGAGGTTTACCTTATAGATACTGGCGTACTCGCGATATCTATGAATATGTTGAGGTCTCACAGTAAATCCATATGTATCTCTGTGAACATTTAGGAAGAAAAAAAACCTTTATATACGCAAAAGTCATACATCCTCATTTATTGATCTTTTTCAAGGCCATTATAGGTATCGAATTCAAACGAAAAGCTAAGATCTGAATATCCGAGTAAACACAGTCCCTTTATAGCATGATTTTACCTTGAATCATCATTCAATGAACGTTTGCTCAACAAGGACAACAACATACTTCACAACAACTATAATTTTACCGCCCATATCTCTCTCCTTGTCAATGAAAACAGACTCCAATCGGAGGACTGCCCAACATTCCATTTAGCCAGTCGATAAACGCAAGCACGAATTTCCCATCTCTTTCACTTGATTCTACCGTCGAATCTCAAATTTAGCCGGAACCAAACTAGGTATAAAAAAATAATCAAACGGAGATGATCGACATTAAGATCTATACTCCGTCGTTAATCAGTAGTTTATCCTAATCAACAACACACTCCGTTCAAGGAAATCGGTAAAAACTGAGTTAACTCGCAAGCTCATGGATGATAACGGCCTACCTACACACACACACAAAAAAAAAAAAAAAACTAAACCTCTCCTCTGCTTCATCTCTCTCTTCCCAAATTCCACATCAATGGCTGCCATTGCCACACGTGTCACCACAAAATTCGCTCAAAACTGACGTCAAACACCAACGCATACACACATACAACAGATACACACACACATATCCTCAGGTCCATCTCTCTGTCTCTGTGATTCCACAAAAATGGCGGCCATTGCCACACGTGTCGACCACAAAAAATTCGCTCAACGTCAATATAAAAAATACCAAAACATACACAAACACACATATATAAACACACACTGATACCCATATGTGAAAGCGCATGGCGTTACCGTTTGGGCTCAAAATTGAGCTGGACTTCGGAGTCTCGGCGCGTAGTTATCACTCGCGATCGGAGAGTGGGACTGTCCCCGGAATTTGAGGCCATACCAATGCCCTAAGCTCGACGGCTAACCGTTCGTTTCCCTCTTTCTCCGCTTCGGTTGTCTTCTCTCTCATCCTCGCCTTTCGCTCTCTGTATGTATACATTTTTGCGCCTGTGTGCGGTTTGACCGCTCGTAGTGTGTAATGGTGGCAAAGGGAAACCAGGTCACGTGCGTCGAGCGTGCGTGACGACGAGAATTTTGCTACAGTACTTTAGTCCTTACGATTCTGACACGTGTCTTGAGTTCCTATTGGGCCGCACGTCCACAATTAATTGGGAGGAATAGTAGTTGCAGCGGGATCTTTTACTAATTGGGCTCTTATTCTTAGCGCAGAACAATACTATTGGGCCTCATACCAAAAAATGGGCTTTTGATGAGATTGTGGCCTCATCTTTTACAAAAATGAATTACCCCACATGTGACACCTATTAATCACAATTTTTTGGTTCCTAATAATATGTCGCAAAATGTTCTAAAATAAAAAATTGTTCCAAGCATATGATTTTTATATGATTTAAGTATAGTAATTTGAAAATATAGTATGCTGGTTGTATTTTAGGGGAGGGTGACCGGAATTTACTGATATAGGGAAAGCGTACGAGTGAGAAGGATAAACGAGTAAACGAGATACTCTCTCGTAAAACACGCAAAACTCACAATATCAATTCATCTTTTATTCATAATCAATTGCCTAACACAACATATGATGAGCCCTTTAAATAAGACTCCAAAATCTTATTTCTAACTTGTCCAACAAGATAAGATATCTAATAATATTATTTATTTTCTAACTTATTCTCTAAGATGATAATAATAATAATAATAATAATAATAATAATAATAATAATAATAATAATAATAATAATAATAATAACCGCCTATGTTGTCTCAACATAGCAGGTCCCAAGCCCTGGTAAAGGAGGAGGGTTGTGATAGGCTTGGCGAGCCAACGTAAAACCTAGCCATTCTATAGAGAGGAAACACAATAGATATTCGTTGGGGCGTAACCCTCTTAGCGACGCGCCATATCGGAACCCGGGTATGGTGTCAAATGGGCAAGGGCCGGGTCGTCTCCCCCTCAGGGACGCGCCATGTCGTGGTTTGGGCATGGTGTTAAGTGAGCAAGGACCGGGTCGTCATTTCCTTAGTGGCGCGCTACATCGGCGCCCAGGTGTAGTGAAAAATGAGCAAGGGTCTTCGCATCTCTCCCGACGGGTGCGAAGGGCAAGGAAGCTAGTCGAACCAACTAGGGTCCGGATAGGTAGTTGGAACGTAGGGTCTCTAACGGGTAAGCTACGTGAGCTAGTCGATGCAGCTATTAGGAGGCGTGTTAATATCCTATGCGTCCAGGAGACTAAATGGAAGGGGCAGAAGGCGAAGGAAGTGGAAGATACTGGCTTCAAGCTTTGGTTCACTGGGGCTTCATCGAGTAGGAATGGTGTAGGCATCCTGATCGATAGGAGCCTTAAGGATGGAGTTGTAGATGTTAGGAGGCAAGGCGACCGGATTATCCTAGTCAGATTGGTAGTTGGGGATGTGACCATGAATGTGATCAGTGCCTATGCCCCCCAGGTAGGTCTTAGTGAGAGCGCCAAGAGGCAATTCTGGGAAGATCTGGACACCTTGGTCAGTACGGTGCCTGCCAGCGAGAAGCTCTTCGTAGGAGGAGACCTCAACGGACATGTGGGCGCGACTAATATAGGTTTCGAGAGAGTGCACGAAGGATTTGGGTATGGTAGTAGGAATGAAGAGGGGGAGGGTGTGTTGGACTTTGCGTTGGCCTACGACTTGCTGATAGCGAACACCCTCTTTAGGAAGAGGGAATCTGACCTAGTGACCTTCCACAGTGGACGTCACTCAAGTCAGATCGACTTTATCCTTGCAAGGAGGGAGGATAGACGCGCTTGCGTAGATTGCAAGGTGATACCTGGGGAGTGTGTTGTCCCCCAGCATAAGCTGGTGATGGCGGACTTTCGATTCCGAGTACGTGTCCACCGGGACAAATGTGCCAAGACCGTGAGAACGAAGTGGTGGAAGCTTAAAGGGGAAGTGGCGCAGACGTTTAGGGATAGGATGCTAGGCGAGGGGCCTTGGGAAGAAGGAGAAGATGCAGATGACATGTGGCTAAAGATGGCAACATGTGTACGGAAGGTGGCTGTAGAAGTACTTGGTGTGAGTAGGGGAGGCAAGCAGGATGCGAAAGACACTTGGTGGTGGAATGACGAGGTGCAAAGGGCTATTCAAGAGAGGAAAGAGTGTTTCAAGCGTCTCCACCTCAACAAGAGTGCAACCAACATTGAGAGCTATAAAATAGCGAGAAGGGCTGCAAAGCGTGCCGTGAGTGTAGCGAAGGGTTAGGCCTATGATGACCTCTATCAGCGCCTAGGCACGAAGGAGGGGGAGAAGGACATTTATAAGATAGCTAGGATTCGGGAGAGGAAGACAAGGGACATCAACCAAATCAAATGCATCAAGGATGAGTCGGATCAGCCACTGGTGAAGGATGGGGAGATCAAGGACAGATGGCGAGAGTACTTCGACAAATTGTTTAATGGAGAGAATGAGGGTCCTACCCTGGAGTTGGTTGACTCATTTGAGGATACCAATAGATACTTGGTGAGGAGAATCCGAGAGGCAGAGATCGGAGAGGCTATGAAGAGGATGAAGGGAGGTAAAGCAATGGGCCCTGATGGTATTCTTATTGAGGTATGGCGATGTTTGGGCGCCAGAGCGTTAGTATGGTTAACTAAACTTTTTAACCTCATCTTTCGGTCAAACAAGATGTCTGATGAATGGAGGAGAAGTACTTTAGTACCGATCTTCAAGAACAAGGGTGATGTTCAAAGCTGTGGTAACTACCGTGGGATTAAGTTGATGAGCCATACGATGAAGCTCTGGGAGAGGGTTATCGAGCATCGCCTACGACGAGTGACGAGTGTGACCCAAAACCAATTTGGGTTTATGCCTGGAAGGTCGACCATGGAGGCGATTTTCCTAATACGACAGTTGATGGAGAGATATAGAGACCAAAAGAAGGACTTGCACATGGTCTTTATCGACCTTGAGAAGGCTTATGACAGAGTACCGAGGAATGTCATGTGGTGGGCCTTAGAAAAGCACAAAGTCCCATCTAAGTACATTACCCTCATCAAGGATATGTACAAGGATGCGATGACGTGTGTTCGAACATGTGGGGGCGATACCAGCGACTTCCCAATTAAAATAGGACTACACCAGGGGTCAACATTGAGCCCTTATTTATTTGCCTTGGTGATGGATGAGGTCACAAGGGACATACAAGGTGATCTCCCTTGGTGTATGCTCTTTGCTGATGATGTGGTGCCAGTTGACGAGAGTAGGGCCGGGGTAAATAGGAAGTTAGAGCTGTGGAAGGACACGTTAGAGTCGAAAGGCTTCAGACTTAGTAGGACGAAGACCGAGTACATGACGTGCGCTTTCAGCATGGCTACTCATGATGATGGTGATGTTAGCCTTGACGGGCAAGTGGTGGCCAAGAAGGAGACTTTCCGGTATTTAGGATCGATGCTACAAAAGGATGGCGGCATTGATGAAGATGTTAGGCATATAATTGCAGCCGGTTAGTTGAAATGACGTCAAGCTTCGGGCGTTCTCTGTGATAAGAGGGTGCCACAAAAGCTAAAAGTTCTATAGGACGACGATTCGCCCGGCGATGCTATACGGTACTGAATGTTGGCCTACAAAAAGACAACATGTCCAACAACTAAGTGTAGCAGAGATGCGGATGTTGCGTTGGTTTTGCGGGCACACAAGAAGAGATAGAATCCGAAATGAGGATATTCGTGATAGGGTCGGGGTGGCCCCAATTGAGGAGAAATTGGTTCAACATCGGCTGAGGTGGTTCGGACATGTCCAACGGAGGTCTCCTGATGCACCGGTGCGCAGGGGAGTTCTACAGCGGGTCGATGTTGTTAAGAGAGGTAGAGGTCGGCCTAAACTCACTTGGGAAGAGTCGGTTCAAAGAGACCTTAAAGATTGGAATATCTCCAAGGATTTAGCGGTGGATAGGAGCGCTTGGAGACTAGCGATCAACGTGCCGGAACCGTGACTTTTGCTCCTTTCTCTTTTGCTCCAATTTTTTTTTTTTTTACTACTGTTTCTATTGGGTTTCATCTCTAGTCTACCCCAACTTGTTGGGAATAAAAGGCTTTGTTGTTGTTGTTGTTGTAATAATAAGAATAATAATAATAATCTACACCATTTACGGTCTTTTACAATGGGATCTTGTTTCGTTTTGTGTTACCCTGAATCATTATAATATTAAAAACTTAATGTACAAATTTTCTTCGAGGAGTTCATCAATGTATAATACAATTAGTTTGTCAAATGGGATTTCGTTATATATTGGCGGCATATATTAGTTTATTTGAATTTAACTAGGTAAAGCCAAGTTTTTATGTTTTATTTTTTTCTAACACTAATTTTTCATTCTGAAATTTGACGGTCATCTCTTCGAGCACATGAAAGTGAGAAGGGACTATTGAAAAAAAATATATATATATAAGGTAAAGAAAAATGTGCAATCTATTAAATTAAGGTGATTATAAAGTGACTAGTGAATGGATGTTTTCTAGATTGACATGCATATGTAGATGAATATAAGCCCTTAAACTTTCATAAACGACTAAGCATAAAAGGTTGAGTGGTTATCGTCGAAGGTGAAGAAAGGATATCGACAAGATGGGTCGATAATGAACTAAAAATAAAATTAGAAACAGCAATATAGGGCAGCAAAACGAGACTAACAGTATAACAGCATATATGTGGTACCATACAGAACCATATTGAACACACCCATAACATACTTAACAATATGAAATGAGATGTAACAACAAATGCAAGTTCAGCTCAATGTGCAAAAATGTAAAAGCCAAAGATGGCATATTCTAAATCTGATTCCCAAAACTACCTTAGAAGCTAAATTCCATAGGACTAATGCACTGCTGGGTTACGAAAGCAGACATTCTGATCAATTTTTATCAAGCAAAAGTACGAGTAACATAATTATATAAACCCAAAACAAAATCAGATTAAAATTAAAAAACGAAGCATGTGCATAACGAGTCAAACTTGTGCCTCGAAGCATGATTATATAATGCCAATAGCATTGCCAACAACTAGAATAACTTAAACTGCTTCACAGAATTTCCCCATTACACCAAAAAGCGAAGCTAATGGAGAACATGAACCGAGATTTGGGCATTAAGACAAAAGCCTCTGTTTTTGGTAATGAATGCATGCGTGGCCAGGGCTTGGGAAGGGAAGCGCACGAGTCCCATTCGGATGTTAATGGTGTTGCCGACATTGTTTGGATTGCTCGGCCTGGATTTATCAACCAACGAACTCGAACGTTCAGTAAAAGTTCACGAAGTAAGAAAGAAACAGAACAATGCACGAACTAAAAATAGAATGTGCCATTGTTAATAGCATGGCAGCAAAATAACCTGTTAAATATCTCAATCGACGATGAATCGTATTGGCACCCAGAAAGGAACCGCTCAATATCATCCATCAGCGCATTTCGAGGCAGTGCATACAGTAAAATCTGAGAGGAGCAAGATTAACCAAATATAATAACCAACGGATAATAATAATAAATAAAAAAAGGAAGCAATAATGCAAGATCCTAGACTGATCCTCACCACTTTTCCATCATAAGGAAAAGTTATGTCCCAATCAGATTTATCCACCTAGAACAAGTTTGAAAATCAATTCAGAATCTGAAGGTCGAAAAAAAAAAAGAAAGAAAGAAAGAAAAAAATAAATGTTGCCAAAATGTAATAATGCTGCGGGCCTTAAAATCTTACCCTTTTCATATTATAAACGCGACCAGCCCGATTAATTGCCTTGAGGCCAGCACTATAAGCTTCTCCAGAGGAAAATTCAACCATCCTACACAAAAGGCATCCGATAAGGTAAAGCATATACCCCTCTTGTTTCCCTAGTATTGATGCAGTACGTTGAGAGGAGATTCTTACATCGACTGGGGAGTATAGCTTAAATTGTACTCAACTTTCAGGTTTTCTGGATTCAATCCACAATCGTCGAGCAAATGGATTATATCAGTCTTTGTTGTGTGCCTACTGATGTTAGTGAGTTTAGCATAAACCCGACCTGAAATTGAAAATTCAACATAACATTTAGAAATTTTGGCTGGTAGACATCGATTAATGCCTAGTGTCATCATCGAACAAGAGCAAGAGCAAGATAATTGAAGTTGAGTACATTGGACCCATTATTTGAAACGTTCAATTCCAAATAAAAACCCCATAAAACTACTTGGATCAAATTCACTACTTTTGCATGTTTCGTAGACGAACTATCTTTCTACCAGCAAATAACAATTAGAAACGTGAAGAACTGAGGTATAAAATAGTGAAAAAGGGATAAAAATAAAAGAACAACATTACATGCCATCATTTTCTCAATTAACATTTCACTCAACACTCAGATAACGAACCAGAAAACCCACGAACAAACAATACAATAAACCTACACAAAGATCTAAATCAAATTAACCATACTATCACCAAAATCATCTAACTCCAAAACCCTAAAACCCTAAATCCTGAAACACAAAATGCCAAATGCCGAATCAGAACAACCCTAAAACTGCAAACAGATAAAACCGAATCAAATCAATTAGAACGATAAGAACCAGCTGGATTTAGATTAAACGGATCGTCGGAGGAGCCGAGGCTCGGGTCGGCCGCTTCAGTTGAGAACAGCTTCGGCGACGAGAAGATGGACGAAGGCGACGGACGACTTGCCTGAGCTGTTCCGATCAGGCGGCTCCATTTGAGGGCGGCTCGGCTCAGCCGACTCATTTTATGGCTAGTTTTTGGTACCCTCTCTTGAGTGACAAAAATACTTGAAATTGGTCGAATTAGGGGTTTTTGCGATGGGTTTACACTTTACACTTCACAGTGGGCAGATACACAGTGTGGTCCAAGATGATTAAAATGTCAGCCATACCCCTTAATTTTGCATAATTATACTTTGGGCCTTGAAGTTTTTTAAATTTATTTTATGCGACTAGAGAGTGTTGGGCCAGTTAATTGTGTTCCGGGCCAAATTGGGCCTGTAGTTAAAGCAGACCGAGCGATCCAAGACCTAGGTGACATGCACTCATTGGTGATGTTAATATGTTTAAAAAATACATCACCGTGCATGCCACCTACGCGGTGAGCATATTAACATGTGTCCACCGTGAGTAGGTGAGCATTTCTGAGCAAATTTTGACATTTTGTTTTTGTTTTTGTTTTCTTTTTTAGAAAATTACATTATTCGTCTATAAATTTATTTTTTTTATTTACACTTTTATGAAGTTTTATGTTCAATTGCAACTATACTGACATTTATACAATTTATAAACGGTGGACTCAATAAGAAGTTTTTGTATAATTAAAAAGCAAAATTTTATGTTTGTATAAATATGTAATTTATAACCATTACATAATAAAAACCTTTTATTTATGAATAAATGATTCAATAAAAAAAATTAAATAAAAATCTATAAGTTGATATACTCAAAATTCTGATTTATTTCTTTTACATCCTACAAGTTCTTAAAAGTATATATTAAATATTCGTAAACTCTGATTTTTCTTTATTTTATTAAAAATTAGTATTAGCACTAACTGCTCTATTTTTTTTTTTTTTTTTTTTTCCAATAATTTATATAGGCTGAATAGAACCTGGCCGGATATGATAAGGCCAGTGCTTACTGTGATAAGCATATAGCCTAAATCACTTTTCTTGCTGGCCCATATAAGCTTTTATGTACCTAGCCAATAATTTAATCAATATTTGGACATATTAGAAAATGAGCTGACAAATTGTTCATGATTAATCAATCCAATTATTTTAAAGGGAGATTCTACAGTCTCGTTATTGAACTATTTCGTCGGAATTTGTAACATCTAGATCAACTATCCACAACGATTACATGATTATCTAACGGTTACAAATCCCGACGAAATGGACTGTAACATTTCCCTATTTTAAATTGAGCTTTATGTGCCTATCCAAAAAGATTTATGGCGGGATATAAGTTATTTTATTTATGATTGGATTTGTTGAATAATCATAGGTAAGTTTGAAAAAGTTGATCGACTAATTGGTTTGAGATTTTGAATTTGTATTACGATACTATTTAAAATGTAATAACTAAAGATGATTTGATGTAAAAATTGAAGATATGTGTTTGAAAGTGACGCACAATTAAAATTATGTGAGTGGCTGAACAGTGAATTGAAATTGAGGTGATGTGATGCTGATTGATTAATATTATTAATTATATTTATAATATTGAGAATAATTGAATTGTATTATAGTTTGAATTAAACAAAAATATATCTGGTTTAAAATAACAAGATAAAATATAACCAATTATGGTCTTAGTATTTCCACTCGAAATTGCTATCATAATATGTAATTTTCGAAAGCGGAACAACGATTTTGATTGAACTCTTCGCATCATCTGACACTATGAACTCAATATGCAGTGCTACTACCGTGCGCCCTGGCACACCTAGCAAGGTATGTCAGGGTGCTTTAAAATGAACATGTTATGTTACAAAATGAACATGTGCAAACATAACATGTCCATTTTAAAAGGCCCCTGGCACACCTTGCTAGGTGTGCCAGAGCGCACCTAAGTATCTGCGCTCAATATGAGCATGAGCACAAATTCCACTAATGTGCCACATCATGTTGTGGCACCATAACACGTGCCACATGTGGCACCATAGAATTTCTGCTATTTTGCATCTCAATTTTTGTCTCTATATTTCTCTACACTTCATATTTGTTTATTTATTTAATGAGTTTTTATCCTATCGTCCCGTTACGGAACTATTTCATTGGATTGTAACCGTCAAGGTTACTTGATCTAACGGTTATAAATCCCAACAGAATTGTTGTGTAATGAAAACGTAGAATCTCCCGTTTTTTATGAATTAAAAGTTTTTTTTTTTAGTTTCAAAGAAGCACAAAAGTCAGCAAACTGATAAGACCTAACAAAGAATGTCATGTGGAATCTTTTAAAAGTTACTTTGTTTGCCCCCATTTTCGAATGGTACAACCATTCGTATGTGGTCGTACGTACCTCTCCCCATCACTATCACCCACAATATATATATATATATATATATATATATAATGAAAAAATAAATGAAAAATTAATGTGACACATCATCCTAACAAAATGACGAAGAAAAGCTGTCAATCCCCACATTCTCCACTGACATTTTTCAAATACAAACTCCACGAGTTCACCTCAAAAGGAGACCTTTTTGATACCATTATTAAGGGGAGGTTTCTACTGCGATCGACAAAATCCGACCGGAATCTGTGTACCTTCAATTTAGTTGAGAGGTGATATGGATTGGGAATGGGCGGCGGAGTTTCTGAAGGGGATGGTGAAGCCGGCGGCGGCGCTGGCGGTGGTGGTGCTCGCGGCGGCGCTGTCGTGGTTGCAGCGGCTGGGATTGGAGGGGGAAATGGTTTACTCGATTTTCAGGGCGTTTCTGCAGCTCTCTGTTATTGGGTTTGTTTTGCAGTTCATTTTTAATCAGAAGAGTGCTGTTTGGATTGTCATGGCTTATCTTTTCATGGTATGTAAATTCATTCAATTTATTATTATTATTATTATTATTATTAATATTATTATTATTATTATTTTCGTCGGAAATTGTTACCATTAGATATTTAATTAAATATCACTGACATATCAATTTTACTAAAATTTTATCTAATCTTTTTTTTTTTTGGGTCCTCCTAAACAGGTCTCTGTTGCTGGCTACACAGCCGGACAACGTGCTAAGCACGTGCCTCGAGGAAAATACGTAGCCGGGGTCTCGATTCTGGCCGGGACCTCGATTACGATGTTTTTGTTAGTGATTTTAAAAGTATTCCCTTTTACGCCGAGGTACATTATTCCGGTGGCTGGAATGATGGTCGGAAATGCCATGACGGTCACAGGCGTCACGATGAAAAAGTTGAGGGACGACATCAAGATCCAAATGAATCTGGTAATTTTAGCAAATCTTCGAACATTATGTTACATTATTATATAATTCGATTTTTGCGTGTGATGATGGGATGAATGGCGTGAGGCACAAGTTGCATAATACGACGTATCTCGAGTTTCTTTTGAGATATTTTCGAGACTTTTTGAGAGTTGCTTGCAATGATGGATTTCGATCCGGAGGAGGAGGGTTCTCGAGTGAGAGATTTATTCGATCGTTTTATCATAGCTTCCTTTCAAATATCTCTAAATCATATGCTGAAATTTCGTGAAAAAAGCAAAGGAAAGTAATGTGTTATGTAATGATATATATGGTGTAAGCTCGGGTTGCATAATCCGATGGATGTCGACTTTTTAGATGTTTTCGAGACATTTTACAGTTTCATGCATCGTGAATTTGGATCCAGAGGCAGAGGCCTCTCGGGTAGGGTTGAAAACGAACTGAGCGGCTCGCGAACACTCGAGTCAAAGTTCAACTCGAGATCGAGTTTGACCGAACTCGAGTCAAGCTCGAACCCATATTTTGCATTGTCGAGCGGCTCGTTGAGCTGCTCGGATATATGTTGAATTACTAAAAGACCCCTTATATATCTATAT